ATTCCTTTGATCGGCCATTCCTTTCGTCCAATAGTAAGAAGGCACATTTCATTTATATGTGCCGTCCAATAACAATTCCCTTGGCCCCATGCCAATATAAAAAATAAACAATTATGCTTCTTGTACACTATCGGATGACAATAGTTTTCGCGGTCCACTTATACGTAGAAATTCGGGTCATTGATTTAAAAAAATTATTAAAATCAATGTATAAAAATCTGCTGCCTCATATGATGTCAAAGAAGCGGTCAAATTTGATGTAGATGTAGCATGATTAAAAAATGAAAATTACTCCCTTTAAAAAAAAATCACATTTATATCGAGGCGAGATCACGATATCTCCATTTTCTCGATTGTTTCTCCATTTATTTATTTATTATAAAAAAAAAAATATGAGTAATATTATATGTACGTTATCGTCTATATTGTGTCACGTGATAATATATCATTGAACAGTTTAAAAAATAAATAATTTTTCCTCTAATCATTTTTTAACGCCACATCAAATATCAAACTAGATGTACAATTGGACATTTTTGGTAAAATGATATCCGTCCTTGTCTAACCTATTGATGATGTTTAAATAGTCAATATTGATTATTGAAAAAGGTTAAAAAAGTTACCTTTTTTAACGAACAAAACCGCGTTTGCAACAGCTTGCTTTTATATTCATAATTTCATATTCACTTTGACATTAAAAGAAAAAAAAAAGGGTCTCTTTCCCCTTCTCTCTCTCTCTCTATATATAATTGAAGGGGAAAGAAACTTATAAAAGGCAGAGTATGGTTTTATAGTAAGAAAGACAAGATTCCGTAAAAAATGGAACAATAAAAATGGATTTATTTATTTTTCGTATTAATTGAGAAATGGGTTTCCAAATTTCTAGTTGGAAACTCTTTTAGATTCCATATTAATTTTTTCTTGAATTGAATTCTGGAAGCTTGTGAGGGGGAAAAAAATTAACTTATTTTCTTGTCTTTTCTTGACATTTTAGTTCTATATAAGCCTTTAGTTTTTCTTTCTACAGACTCCCCTTTCCACCAAGATTTTCTTCTTTACTCCTTGAAAATAAAACAATTTTCCAAGAAATGGAAGAAATGGCTTCTCTTTGGAGTTATCAAGAGGTAGATCATTTAATTGCTTTTTTCGGTGGCTTTTTTCTCATAATTCTTGTTTTGGATAGGCATTAATATTCCATTGCACTTCATTGTAAAGATATTTGGAAGTCTCAAACTGGGTTTTCAATTGATTACATCACATTTAATTGCTTATTTTCGCAGTTTTTTCAAAGAGAATTCACTGAAATTCCCTTTCTTTGTTAGGAATATTTGTAGCCTTGCCTTCATTTGTAAATATTTTTGGAGTTTTGCTTGAATTCCACTCATTTTCTTCTGGTTTTCATTAGATCCACATTTGTGTAGAATCCATTAAAGATTTGTAAAGCCAATGAACAAATTTGATTGTTTGTCTAATATTATACGGTACATGTTCTTCGATTTCTCGAAGGTTTCTGTTTCTTGATCTATCAAGAATTTCTCTTGCTTATTTTGACAGAATCTTGAATTTGCAGAATGTTGATGAATTGAATCAGAAGCTTCTGTATACCACTCTTGAGCTCGAGAAATTAAAAGCGGAAACAAGTGAGGAAATGGTCAAGAATAAGGAATATGTGAAGCAATTAATTCAACTTCTAAAGATTGCTATCCAAGAAAGAGATGAAGCCAGAGTTCATCTGCAGAATTACCTCAACAGGTCTCCACCTTTAACTTCTCCGACCGAAAATTTAGCCGTGCTTCCTCACTTTCAGGCCGATAGCTCGCTTTTAAAACCTGGAAAAGCGAATTCCAGTGTCACCGAGTCCAACAGCCTGTCAGAGACGTACAATTCGTCTCCTATTGATTCCCTTTTCGATGCTGTCACGTCGCCAGAACTCTCCAACATCAACTTGGTTGTGAATCAGCCTTTGTTTCATGACTGCAATGTGGTTAATGTCCCTGTTTCGACCAATCAGGTCAAGCCATGTGCTCCTATAATCGATCGGGCCTCGATGATTATAGACAACCTTGTCAGGGGACGAGCCCTGCCTCAGAAAGGGAAACTCCTGCAGGCTGTCTTTGAATCAGGGCCGCTTCTTCAGACACTGCTTGTGGCTGGATCACTTCCTAGGTGGCGTAATCCTCCTCGGCTTCAACCTTATCAAATTCCACCCGTCTCGATCAAAGGCCCTGAAACTGAGGTTTTTGCTCAGAAACCGGACTCAAATTTTAACCAACTTGCTTCTTCCAGGGGAATGAATTCACAACCTTATGCTATGATGTCCTGTGGATCTTCCCAAATCCTTTCACCGCCTATGTTAAATTTTGCTAATATACCCTCTGGATCATGTCTGGGCAGTGCAGGTACAGCTACTAACAATTCTGTCCCTCTGGTAAAGAGACAAAAGCTGTACTGAAAATTCATTGGAGTCAATCCTTCCAATTTTTTGTATAAATAGGGAGCAGGGATGGTGGTGTAAATGGCAGCATTGTTTTCGAGTTTTTAGTGAAATTGTTACTTGATTGTCATTCGAATTCCTTCGAATATCAATTCTATGGTTTAATCAATGAAATTAGTCTTATTACATAATTCCCCTGTGTCTTCTTTTCGTCTACAGTTTCAATAATGCATTACAGAATGTTCTTCGTCCATGTATTCCTTGCTAGAATCTCTGAGTCCAGAAGATTCACTTTGAGAATGATAAGAATTGTCGGTCTCAAGTACTAGAAAATTCTCATCCAGTTGAATATTCGGTTGTGCTATATGTATATAAAAACCTACATAATGGTTTACCAACAGATGATGTGGTGAAATTTAATTGGATTAAAATCTCATCAATCAAATAACTTCTCACTTATATTTTGATACCTCATCATTATGTAAATAGTTATGTATAAGAAGCATTTTTTTGAATATTATACGTTATAATCCCTACTTAAGAACAATAGAAAATAAACTGAAATCAGAAATACAGAAAGCACACAGATGAGGTAGATTCACAGTCATTTATGACATGATTAGACTCCACTCAGTTCAACTCATTATCGAATTGTCATCATATTTGTTGCATTTTTACTTGAACCAGGCAGATTCACAGTCTCAGCAACAGAGGACAAAAAAAATTTGATAGACAGAATTCAAAGATGGTGTAAATTTAACAATTCTATATATTGATATCTTGCAATTGCTATATTCAGTTTAAAGAATGTGCACAAGGAAAAATGTAATCATGAACAGAATCAAACAGTTTTTCTTAAAGAATGGGGTATAAGATAACATCAAATAGACAGACACACAGTTTAGACGAAACTAGTCCGGTTACCATCACATTGAAGTGACATATTCGACTCAAATTCTGAATTATGCTAGATATTTACCAAGGAGCTCCTCGTTATACAAAGATCGTATGATCAGGTGCCTTTGTTCTGGTTTAGCTATTTCACTCTGCAGGATCTTGTTTATCGATAGTTGGTTTGATGAGTTCGGGTAATGATCCTTGTAGGTCAGATCCATATATATGGCCCATCTTTTTTCGTTTTGCTTCAAGATACCTCTTGTTTTTCTCTGTGATGGGGCTCAGCACTGGAACCCGTCCAACAACTACCAGACCATAGCCCTTTAGACCAGTGAACTTGGCCGGGGTTGTTAGTCATCAGGTGCATAGTGTGAATTCCTATGTCCCTTAATATCTGTTCGAACAATCAAAGATTCTAGCGTTTAGTTTTATCATTAAAATCCCTTCTTTAATTTTCTTGCGCGGAGAAAGACACAAAGTCTAACCATGAAAAGGCAATTTGCTGACAGATTCAGCCATCATTAATTGAACTAACGACGGAATTTTCTTTAAGTTATAGAACTTCATAGATAATTTAGAGAAAATGGGATACTGGATTCATGCTACTGTTATCCTTCTTCTGGATACTGATTGGCAAAAATTGGAACAGAAAATAAATAGATTTGATTAAAAAAAAAAAAACCATTTATCAACCGAAATTTATTGATTTCTCAACTTTCATCAGTGAAATTCGTGAAGAATCAGGATCCAACTTTAATTTTAGCAAGATTATGATAAACTTCTCTGAAATGTCAAAAATTAGCAAAGGGATGCTGAAAATTTGTTGACAGACCTGGGCACCATTTCCATAGTCATGAGCATCAGCTGCTCCATTACTGTACAGCACCAAGGATATAAAGGAACATTTCACCTTAACAATGGCAATATGCACCATTCCATCAAGTTTTGAACGATAACAGTAAGCCTGAAACGAACCCTGTGGGCTTATTGGGCCTATTTNGATTATATGATTTTATGCATATCTGTTAATGCCATTGATATATGTTTGATTACATATTGTTAATGCTGAATTTCTGAGATTAAGATTGAACTCTGTCATTACCATTTTATGTTGTTACATTTGATTATGTGATTTCAGATTATATGATTTTATGCATATCTGTTAATGCCATTGATATATGTTTGATTACATATTGTAATGCTGAATTTCTGAGATTAAGATTGAACTCTGTCATTACCAGTTTATGTTGTTACATTTGATTATGTTCTACTGGGATTGATTATTGATCTGTCATTTGGTTGAAATGAGTTGGTGAACTCTGTTCTTAGTTCATGTTGGAATTCAGATTGGCTATTGAGTTTGTACATTGGTTTATGAGCTTTAGAACTATATTATGTTTTGTATTGATGTCTGCATTGATAGTTTATTCCCAACAAACCCCATTTAGTTGGCAAGCGTGAAATTGCAGTTCTTTCAACCAGTGTTTCCCTCTTTCTCCTATACTTGAAAGTGTAATTACTGCAAACAACTGCAGACAATGACGATTGGGATGCTGCAAAAATGAATGTTCTGCTTGTGTACCGAGCTTAACTAATTGTAAAGTCAGTTTAGAGTAAACAGAAGTAGATGTATTTTGTCATATAATTTGTGTCAATATCCTATTTCAACGACCAAAAAACAGTTTGCTTTAGAATATCATGCATTTTTAGCATATCCAGGTTTTTTGTTTTTTACGTTTTTTCTTTTTCTGTCTCATACGAGCTCATCTAAAGAACATAAAAAAATATAAATCACAGAAAGAAACGCTTGGAATCATTCTGTGGTAGCTTTGAGAAAGTAGCCTTACGTTTTCAACTAAGTTTTCTTATCTATAAATGCTTCGGAGTTGCCTTGTATACAGGGAGGGGTATAAGCAAGAAAATCTTGTAATCTTTTTGAAAAATCTACTGCAGCGGTGGTAATATCTCTCTCTTCGAGCGCAAACAACTATAAATTTGTATATTCTTTGGTTGTTTTATAGTTTCTTTTTGGTTTAGTATTGCTCTCGGGTTAAGGATTAGCATATAATCCAGAAAACTATTTCATTACAGATAAAATATTTTCAGAAATTCACCTGATTAGGCATGCGAGCCAGGGAACCATCACCTCTATCCACTATAGCCGAGAGAGTGGAGACTGGTTGCAGACCAGCCAGCATAAGCAGATTCACAGAAGCCTCCGTATGACCTGATCTTGGTAGAACACCTCCATTTCTATAGTTAAGGGGACAAACATGTCCTGGCTCATTGAAATCTTCAGGTCTGGAGTTCGGAGATGAAAGAGCAAGGGCTGTTTTTGGCCTATATGAACCCGATACACCAGTAGATGTTCCCACTTTAGCATCCTAACAATTCAATATTCGAAAATATATGAGAAATTTCAATAGCCAGGTTTATGCATAATGTCGTTAACAAATGATCCATTCTGTTGCATTTATATTCATATTCATGTCTATTTTGACCTTTTCTTTTCTTATTCAAAAGTGGCATTGCTTACGCCGTTGTCTAGAATTGCCATTGATGCAACTCAATCATCATAACAATCGACAATATATCATTGGCCTAAATAGAACTGATACCATAAACCAGCATCCGGAGCTGCATTATATCATTAAGTGCCCAATTGAAACTACAAATATAATCAACTCATCATTCCACTTGAGATTTTCTTAGGTATGATTTGTAAAATGGCCATTAAACTCAGTGGAGGAACTGCATTGCATTTACTAATTTAAATTTTATCTTCAACAAACCTCAATTTCATTTTGTCATTATAAACAGAACACGTCTACAAGTTTTGCATATGGTGGTGGCAAGAATTAAACACGTTTAGTCTGTTAAACTATCCCATATAAAAGTCATTTAGATTCGGTCTACAATAATATATAACAAGGCTGCTCGATCTTCATACCACTGTGATGGTAAATGAGGGAGCCGAAGAATCGTCTTCCTTTTCAGGAGACATCAAAGGGAGCTTTAATCTCTCAAGATCTTCTTCCTTTATGCCTACAGAAACTATCCCTGAACCATACTTAATCATAAATGCAACAGCCACATAAGATGCTGCAATTACAAGATTTCCTTCAACCTCTTCATTTTCATCATCTACAACAATCACACACTTTAACAATTTTCAAAACAAATAATCAGCACAAGATTAATAAAACCAGCATAGGAAACTGGCACAAAACATTCTTAAGTACAAAAAGCATGTTTGGCTAAGCTTAAATAGTACTCTTATAAAGTTTTTTTTAGAAAGGTAATTTTTCTATTGATCAAATTGGAACAGAGAAGTTAACCTTTTTTTTTTAATTAAAAGTAAGACGCAAATAACTTATCTGAACATGAAAATGTTAGGAAACACAAATTTACTCAACTTTTACTTATTTCTAAGCTTAGCTGAACATGCTCAAGAATTGTATAGAAACGTGTCCAACCTTGCCTTGGCGCAATGCAACAAGAGCTTGTTCAATCGAATAGTAACCATCAGATGGACGGTCAGGATCACTCTCTGCATCACTAACAAAAAATCAGCTATTTCTGGCGTAATTTCTACATCCAAAATTCCAAAACTTGCGGAGGAAGAATCATTAAACGCATCAAATAATGATCCATTCAAAGTTTCTTCAATCTTGAAAGAGCCCTCGTCAGAAAACTCTCCTGATAATCCCAGAGCCCAGCAAGCGGAAATCCATGGTTTATTTCTACATATTCCAGCAAAATTAGAACCAGTATAGATTAAGACTCTTGAATTGAATAAAATCTTAGGGAAAAATGCTATGCAATCCATGGATTGAGAAGGATACGTTAGAATGGAATTTGGTAAGGTTTTTCTTGATTTCTTATTGAGCCCATAATTTGCATGTGATGTGGCGATTGTTAAACGGGGAATTAAACGGGGCCCCCGTCCCGTCCCCCGCCCCGTTAAGAAA